ACTTCTGTACGAAGGCTCTAACGCGCGTGAAGATTCGTTTTCGTACACGGCACGTTATGTACGGCGCTCCCGAAAAATGAGACATCGTCATGGTGGTGAATGACTTTTGTCTCTCGTTTACCGTGCGAAAGGAGCGCACCAATGAATCACGATACGTCGTTTCGAAACGCTCAATATAACGTGTGGTTTCGTCACAGCGGGCGCGCAGTAAAAAGCATCGTCGCGGCTCGTAAGAGACGCCATTCTACGACGGCCGAGCTTCACGGATCATACATAGGAAGGCAAGAAAGGTCACGGCTCTGACCCGTTTCGACGTCTTATCGGCCTCATGGCGAGCAAAGTTCGTTCGTTCATGGAAGGCACGAGCGGACAGTCGCGATCCAGAAAGATACACCCGACTTCCCGTTTACCATGTAGTTTGATTGAAGCGGGAACAACCGGTGCCATGTCTTCGTATCGCATTTAAATTCAGGTCCGTATTAATAGTTATTATTTGAAACTCGTCTCGGGTGAGATATGAAATCTGAGATACTCAGATTTCAATACAGAGTTCCATATTGATAGTCGCTACTTAGAACTTGTCTCACATGAGATACTCGGATTTGAATTCAGAGTTGAATTCGAATTAAATCATAATTTTTTAGGCAAATTATATGATGCATGCGATACTCGTATTACGTTTGCAATCGCTATTCCGCTTAAAAAGACTCACATTTGACTCTGAAATCAAACCTGAAAATCTCAGTTGAAAGAAGTTTCAAGGAGTAACAGTTATTACGATTACGGGTAGAAGAGAAGAAGAGAAATATCACATATATTATAATTCACCTGAAAAACTTTGGTCTAATTCTAAATAAAAATCTGAGTATCTCGTATGAGACAAGTTTCAGGTGACACCACTATTAATATCGATCTCAGACTCCTCCGCCGAGTAAAAATACTACATTGTCGTGCATTATTCGACGACCGGATCAATTAACGCGAACACCTTGGCTCTTAATTAAGAGATGTAAGCGCGCTTTATCTTACGTACGCTTCAGGACAGAGAAGGTCGTCTCGACGCGCCTGTATTACTCGTAGCTCGTTGCTCCGAGTCGCTCCCGATTTCGCCAAGTTACCAGGCGCAACGGCATATTAATTACGACGTTGCGCGAACTTGCGCGCATTGACTAGCGGCCGGCGCTTTTGCGGCAGCCGGTGTACGTACGCGAGATTAATATGCGTTGCTCGGCATGAGATTCGCATCGCGATCGCGCGAGCATAACTACGGCGAATTCTACACATTTCCACACATTTCCAGCCTATGAAACTTGCATCTGAGCATTTCCCCGACTCGCGCCGACGTACTCGGATGACGCACCTTCATCGAAACGTAAAATTGTAGGTAGCAAGAGACCAAAGTAGAAAATAGATACAAGTATATTTCCGTGGGAGAATCCAATTATATATTAGACTAAATTAAAAACTTAATTATAAAGTATCATTACATAGAATTCTTTTACTTTTATTATTATTATTATTATTATTATTATTATTAACTTTATAGCAAACATTACTGCGGAATTTTATAACCAAGGAATAGATCGATGTTCTGCAGTAATCGACTGTTCTCTCATTTCATATGTGCTGTTTACATTTTAGGAAATGAAATGTGCTGTCAAAAATGTTGCTATGTTTTTGATGAAATTTACTGTACTCTATAACTATTTATTTTTTAACTATATCTTTAACAAAATGAACCTTGTTGACAGTCCGTTTGTTTTGGAAACATTGGAAACATAGTAAAATTGCACCATTGGAAATATAGTCCTATCAGAAAAAGTGCGTTAACTAAATCTCGAATATATCGAAGTGGGTGAAGCCTCTTTTCCGCGACGCTAATTGGCCGTCTCGACCGTCTCGATCCCGTCGCAGTTGAATTCGTGCCGCTTGCAGCTGTCAGCCGCGGTGACAGATCAGGTTGTGTTGTTCGCGTCATATAAATTTGATATTTATTGTAATAGGAAATTACAACTAACATGTATGTTATATGTAACATTGTGTTTGCTGGGAATATAATTTGTAAAAACGATTATTGTAATATAAATTGTAAATAGTACAACGAAAAGGCTAAAGTGGCGCGCGCGAAGCGCCACTAGTGTTCCAGTAAAATTGAAAAAATTGTATGGAAAGAAAGAAAACTGTAATATCCTCTCTGTGTAATTGATCATTACTTGTTCATCGTTAACTGTCATGAATTTCTATCAATTGTATTACTTATTCATTTAGTATTCTTGGCAATCAAATTTAATTCAAGCGTTTGATAACTTCTCTGACATGTTCTGATACACACGGATAGCATATTTTCATTGAAAAGCAGTATTATAAGTAATAAAGAACAAAAGTGACAGACGAATATGTAAAAGTTCGGAAGTAGAAGTACAGTTCTAGGAAACTTAATTAATGAATTCTTCGGATTAAGTATTAATCAATTAATTTCAAGTATTAATTCCACACGACCAAATTCATTTGAGTCAAGTAATTAACGCGTAGCGATCGGCGACGACGCCGGCGTCGACCCCGGATTTGCGGAGCATACGATCATCGCGTCTCGGTGGGAAATCAAACGTCGCACAGACATTTAAATCCGGTACTGCTGACAATGAGCGCACCCGAAAAGTTATCCAGGCTCGAGCGGCTCCGCCATGTGCCACTTTTTTCTCCGTGTTACGCGCGCACGTATGTATACACACACACACGCACACGTGTGTATCTGCATACGAGCCCCGCTCCGCTTTTCTGTATCCACCATTATACACACCTATAGGAACCGCACAATGCCGCTCGTCCGGTACATTCCCCCCGTGATCGTCGTCATCTCTTTCCACCCCACGTGCGCGACACATGTGCCACACAATGGCAGAGAAGAAGCAACGATCGCGCAGCGAACGGGTGGCTGCGGATAGCGAGAGAGGCGAAAATTCGATCGCCCATTTATCCGACTGTTTGTCGGATACGCTTGATTTTAACTTGATCCCGACGTCGGATCTGAATAATTAAAAACAGATATCGATGTTCCTGTTAACCATCTTGGAACATTCGTCGGATTGATTAAATTCTAATGTCGGGCTCTCGTGTTCTTTTGTCGGAAAAGTAGAACGCCTGAAATTAGTAGCACTTATTGTAATTAGCAATTAAATATCTAAAATACAGAGATACTCAGATCGTGTATTTTTTCACCGTAGCGCGAAATCAGCTGCAACACTGGGTGCTCGACGAGTGTCTATCAGCTGAAATATTCAGATGATTCAATCGGGTCTCAACTAATCTTCATTGAAGTTACCCCTTTCGAATTTTTGTGTTTTAGATTAGTTCTCGCGGCCTGAATGGAAACTCTTTGTTTCTTCTCAATATTTATTTCAAGTTTAACTTTTCAAACTCAAATGTCCTTCATTTTTCTTCAGTTGTCGTAAAAATAGAAAATATTAATGATGAAAAGCCCGTACGTTAGAGCTTGTCTTGAATTTGCATTTGCACACAGAAAAATATTCTTTACTGCTAAGAAAAATGATTACACAGTTTATTTTCCTTCTTTTAATGGTTATTTTCAATATAAAATATTTTCTTAATAAGAATCTTAAGATATATTCATCACAAATTTGAGAAACGCTAAACTTTTAGTGGGGTTTAAAATGTATTTTCGAGAAATTTGATATTTGTGATGAAAAGTTGTGACAGATTTGCGGATATATAAACTTATGAAGTACCTGAGACAAGTAACACTTACATTGGACGCAATATGTACTTTTCTGTGTGCGAGAACTTGTAGCAATTCTGCAAAATTTATACGCTCGAGAAAAATCAGAGTATCTACCTGAAGAGAGGATTCTTTTCCGCGGTCTAGACGGCTACACCATCTCGTTCGCACGATTCACGTTCCCAGACTTGACCAATTTTCCCTTGCCGACCTGACCGTGCGATTTCAGATCGCGTCGCATCACCGCTCGATCAGCGGCGGCACGGCGTGGGCGTCGGTGCTGAGTGCATGCGGATGCACTCGGATGCATTCGCTTAATAGCGGCGCCGCGAAACATTTGGCAGCGCTCGCGCGGTATTTCTTTCTCCTCGCGTCCTGGCACTACGCCCCGTCCGCGGTAAGATTCGATTGTGTCTATCGCGCACGCGTCTATCTTTTTTAGCACCGGACACGTACTAGCTGCGCTATACATTATCCTCGTGATGCGCGATGCACGTGCGACGCGCTGGGGATTATTACGACTGACGCGCGGCCATGCATATCGGTAATTGGCGAAGTCGCGATTAGCTCCGCGCGCATGTAAACCGATACAGGACCGCTGTTGCCGCTGCTGGATAGTCGTATCGTTGCTGATTGATCGCGACCAATTTTGCACGTGTGACTTGTCGCGGATCTCGAACAATCGACTTCGTCACGTCGCGGCACTAGTCGGAGTTATTAGTACATCTCGCTGCGACCAGAAGGAATTGCGGGATCTGACAAATGACTTTCTAAATGTTATAAATTATTCGTTATAATAAATGAAATCAATTCTGTACGATAAAATACTATAGTTTCCAAATGTTCAATCGCACATTGTCAAAAATACTTTGTCACTCTGCACGGTCGTTATTGCAAAAAGCCGTGTGATTGCACTCGCTTCTTTCCGGAACACAGCACATTCGATCTGTACACATCCGAAAATAATCACCAAAGAGAAAAAAAATTGGATCGCGCCCCCGCGATGACGTTGGTTGGTTTTAACGAGCAGTTCGATCTCTGTGTTTTGTGCGATGACGCGATGCTGAAGCGAGATATAAAAGTCCTGCCACGTGTGCGCGTGTTGCAGGCTGCAGCGAGGACGACGCAGGTGTCGTGGATGTGGAGGTGGGCGGAGGTTGCGCGGGTGGAGCGCCAACCGCAGGAGGTGGAAATATTGCTAGTGATGGAGGTGGTGGCGGCGGCGGCGGCGGCGGCGGCGGCGGCGATGGTGGTGGTGGTGGTGGTAGTGGTGGCGGCGGCGGCTGTGGAGGGCGAGGAGTTGGTGAGGGTGGCTCAGCTAAGCAGCAGCAGCAGCAACAACAGCAGCAGCAGCATCAACAGGGTGGCGAAAGGTGCTCTCAGTGTGGCATCCACTGTCGGAACGTCCATGTCCTGCAGCTTCATCTCGAGGACGCGCACAAAACATCCTATCCCATCGACAAGCACGATCTCAACGCCCAGTTCTCCCAAGTGGTGAGTGATCGCGATGACCCGTCAAGGACACACACAGCGAATGGGGGTCCTCCGAGTTCCGCGCGCGGACTTATCGATTATCCCGAGAGCGAGAGCCAGCTCTCTTCGCCGAGAAGCGCCGCTTCGCCCTTTTCGCATGCGATTCTCTCTGACGAGGAGGTAGGAATGCTTCTAGGTAGGAGAGTGATAATAATGATGGTGGTGGCGGTAACGGTGGTGGTAGTGGGGGTGGTATAAATGTTGGTGATGGGAAGTTACTGGTTATTGTACTTTTTCAATCAATTTTTTTGCAAGTCTTTGAGATACGCGTGATGTTAAGAAAGATTTGTAGTTTTTATGCTGAAATTTATAGAGAAAATTGATTAATGTGAACCAAGAACGAATCCTTGACGATTTCTTCACGAAAAAACGATGAAAAAAGTATAAAAACAGGTATCTTTTGGCGACCTTTTTATTGTTTAATAGTTCTCGAAAAAACGTGGTTTTAAAGATAAAAATATCGCATAATAATTTTTGCAGTTTACTTGATTGCAAAATTCGTTTACATGACGCTACATTATCCGGTTTTTTGTGAGTGTGTACATGTATGACATTTGTATATCTTATGTAATTAACATTTTCAATAATTTTACAGTCTTGCAAGGTGTGTAGCAAAACCTTCGCTAACGTCTATCGACTACAGAGGCACATGATCAGTCATGACGAAAGTGCCGTTCTGCGAAAGTTCAAATGTCCTCATTGCGAGAAGGCCTTCAAGTTCAAGCATCACCTTAAAGTAATTCGTTACTACAATTATACATTAAAACAGATGATTCATTATTTTGTTATATCTTTGTCATCTCTGTACTTTCTGTTTATTAATTCTGCTTCTTTTGTTTTGCTCACATTAATTTGTTTCTTAATTATAATAGATCAGAGTTCTGCTTAATCATAAATGCCTTTTGTTTTATCACATTGTTAAAATATCATCCCAATCACCTGATTTAGTATGTATATATTTTTTCACGATTTATTTTCACACATTCTCTTCTCTTCGGGCGCTATGCGAATCGTCATAATAAATGGACACTTTTAATAATACGTACTCTTTGTATTTCTCATAGGAGCACCTGCGCATTCACAGCGGAGAAAAGCCATTCCAGTGCAGCAATTGCGGCAAGCGTTTCTCTCATTCTGGATCGTATTCGAGTCATATGACGGCGAAGAAATGCTTGATAATGAATCTGAAGAAATCTAGGCAAAACACCATAAGCAACGTCGATCGGGGATCTAAGAAAGCGCATCAATCATTGTCAGGACGACGTGACGTTGATCCGCTTGCCAACAATAACACGTTCCTTCCAATTTTGCCGAAGATGTCGCATTCGGAGTACCAAGAGATGCAGAGAGATGCAGCAGGTAATTTTGCCAGTGTTTACAATATATATATATATATATATATATATATATATATATATATATATATATATATATATATATAT